TTTATGACATCCTGAAAATAGCTCAGTTTTTAGGTATACGATATCTGAAGAAGAACTCATCCATTTGAGCTGAAACTTTCAGGATATTATGAACTTAAACGAAGATTATCAGTAGGATGGGTTCCCTCGTAAGCTAAGTTAACTCTTGCTTCTGTCTGGGCTTTCGGACTATTTTTCAGACTCTCTAGAGTTTTCATATTGCTCACTCAGGCATCTACAGAAAGATATGAAACGATAGATCATATATCGGAATGCGAATCTTATGACGACGTATAGCTGTCAAAAAAATCCAAGAACCACACGGAACCCTACAGCAGGTCAGCAAACTGGTTCTTATGGAAATAATAAAAAATCATGTTGCTGATCTATTGTAAGATTTTTTATAGTTTTCATTGACAACTAACCTAGCCATGAGACACAATCTAATCTATCTACCAGCGACAAAACGACTGCGAATCGTATTTTTGATCTAAAATATAGAGTTTATGGTCTGAAGAAGTTTTCTTGAATATATATGAATATTACAAGTGTAGACGTTTATAATACCAGTAAAAGTTTAATGTGAAGATACAAAATGTTGGTATACTATCTGACGAGTGAACTACCCCAACTGATTTCGAGCTTTCTGCTTCATATTTTAACTATAGATAGATCTCAGTGAGACTAAAACAACCCTTGAAGCGTTCATGCTTACGAACCACTGGTCCAAAATTATAGCCATTTTACTGAATTCTCGGCTTACGAGACAGTATTCATAGCAAAGTCAAATGTTCGTATTTCGATCTGATATTCGGTCCATAACCAGTTCTAATAATTTCTACCATGTACCAAAATTTTCAACCAAAACGGATGCTTTCTTCTTGAGATATTCAATTTGCAGGACAGCTCCATTATTATGACCTATGTGTTACAAGCGGACATATTTTGGAAATTGAATATCTCAAGAAGGAAACATCTGTTTTGGTTGAAAATTTTGGCACATATTAGAAATCACTAGAGCTGGTTATGGGCACAATATCAGATCGAAATACCTTCATTCGATTTTGCCGTGGATTCCGTACCGTAGGCCGAATATCTCGTAGAACGGCTATCACTTTGGATCGGCAGTTTGTAAGCACGAACACTTCAAGGATTGTTTCAGACCCACTGAGGCCTACCTATAACTAAAATATGAAGCCGAAAGCTCCGGTTCAGTTGGGATTCGTTCCCTCATGAGTCTTTTTAATACATGCTTGAATAATATTCAATGATAGGCCGTTGCAAGCTTTATCGACCGCATTCTTTAGCTTATAATATACCATTGAACTGTATCAATGGATAGATAATAGCCCTGATTTTAATGCTATTGAACTAGTCTGAAACATTATCAAACAGAAAATTAAAAACAAGAATACAGTCGATGAAGCTAGAAACGGTCTATCATTAAATATTATTCAAGCACGTATTAAAAAGACTCAGACAGTATAGCAACACTTTGTATGTTCATATTAAACTCTTATTTGTATTATAAACGTCTACACTTGTACTATTCATATATATTCAAGAAAACTTCTTCTAACTGTAAACTCTATACTTTAGATCAAAAATAGGATTGCCAATCGTTTTTCCGTTGGCAGTATGATGCATCTTTTCATGTCTGTCTGAAGTCGTCTGACCGAGCAATACGGAAATTCTAAGACTGCTGAAAAGTCGTCCAAACAGAGAAAAAATCAACTTAAGCTTAGATCTAATTCTGTAGGAGATATTCAAGATTATATACCTACAAAAGAGAATCAATAAGTTGGTATATCCGCTTCCAAGAATCCAACGTAAGTTTTTCAAAGATTCTCTGAAAAACCGATATTTACAATTCTTCCGAAAAGATGTCTTAGAGTTTTGGTATTATATTGTATTTCGCGTGAGTTATTCAAAGACAAACATCCAAGTGCCTTGACTTCTGTTGTCGTCTGCTACATAGTTAAAATTTCTTTGAAGTGTTATTATTTTATTTTTCAAAGACGAATTCCAGAACATCCAAGAATTGTTAAATTAATCGGATCAGTTATTGATTATACTGATAGTGATCAAACACCAGTTTTACTTGTTATGGAAAGACTTAAACGTGATTTATATGCAGCTTTAAAAAATAGACTCGAATTTTCAATTAGGTAATTAAGAAAGATCCTGAACTTTGTTTGTTTTGTTTTTGTATGATTAAAAAATGAATTCTTTTGTAGAATGCGTATTGCTTTGGATGTTGTAGAAGGTTTAAGATATTTACATGGTTTAGGTCTTGTACATCGTGATATTAAATTAAAAAATGTTTTGGTAAGACATTTGAGAAGTATTCTTTTATGTTTTTGTTTTTTGAATTTTATTTCTAATTATTTTCTAGTTAGATGAAACTAATCGTGCTCGTATTACTGATCTTGGTTTTTGTAAACCCGAAGTTATGATGAGTGGTTCTCTAGTTGGAAGTAAATACAATAAATTAATTTTAAAATCTTGTTTCTTTTTTTTTTCAAATATATTCTTTAGCTCCGATTCATATGGCACCAGAATTATTTACATCAAAATATGATCATACAGTTGATATTTATGCATTTGGTATATTGTTTTGGTATATATGTTCAAATGGTATTAAATTACCAACAAATTTTGATGTATGTTCATCAAAAGATATTCTTTGGTCAGCAGTAAAAAAAGGTGTACGACCAGAACGTTTAATGGATTTTAGTGATGAATGTTGGGCAATAATGACAAAATGTTGGGATACTCAACCATCACAAAGACCTTATTTAGGTGAAGTTCAAGAAAAAATTGAACAAATTCTTAATAATACAAGAACAACATCTGTTTGATTACGACTCATTATTAATTTATATTTTATTTTTTCTGCATATTATTTCTTTTGTTCAGTAATTAATAATAAAAAAAAAAAATATACATATAACAAAAAAAAAAAGCCAAGCGTCAGATTCCTTGTCCTTTTTTCTTTCGTCTATATACATAAATTATTTTCTTCATCTATATTATCTATTTCTTTCTTTAAATTATCAGTGAATATTCTTGTATAAATCAGCTATCATTTTAGCACGTTGATTGTTCTTCCGATTTAACATATGCCAGCTAGACATTATTTTTTTTTTTTTTTGTTTAAGAGAATCGTTCTTTATCTGTTTGTTTGTTTTATTTTTGTCATTTATATACATCGTTCCGCTGAACTATACAATACATACAAATATATTGTGAAATTTTGGTATGATGAAAAAAAAAACAAGTTCAGTATTGTTTCAGTGGATATTATTGATAATTTTCATTAGTAGGATGGTAAGAATGAAGAAATTGAGAAATATTTACGTTTTTCAGATGGCAACAAGTTCAATTGAATATGAAGGATCTGATACGTATTATTCAAATATTGAATAATCGAAAAAATAAAATTGTTCGTATGGATTTTGAACAAATGAATCTAGACGTGAGCAGGAATAATCATTTTTTTTTGTCACGGAATCATCTTGGCTAGGTCTAAATGAACTAGGCATGCGCTAAACCAGAACTAGGGAACATATTCGAGTATCAAACACTCTAAATAAAGTTATTTTTTGTCTTCAAATCAATTTAGTCCCAACGGTTTATTTCGCAGCGTCTCTTGGTTGAGTGTTCAAGTCACACTTGTATCCTTAGAAGGATGACCAAGTTTTTATTGAACTCGTTAAGGAGTACGGATGTGACTCGAAAATTTGATTGAGAGGCGTTGCGAAATAAACTTTTGAGTGTCACCACTAGATTGATTCCTTGTGTGAATGTGCACACATTTGTTTTCGACAATTATGTTCTGATAGCGTTGAACACATGTTTCAAAGTAATCTTACTCGAGAAAGTCCGTACTTGACCAGCTCTGCATCGAACTTGGACGTTCGAGCTACCTAAACTCGTCTCTAGTTCGATCTTGAATGCAATCATTTTTCAGTTAATTAATAAAAGTCGAACCTGAATTTAACCGAACTTCAGAATGCTTTCATAATTACGCATATACATCGAGAAACGCTTGATCAATGGACTCAATACTCCGACATTGTCTGAAGTGGTTGGATAGTTTTCGAACATCGAGCCAGAGTTCATGTTCGGCGCATGCCAAAAATGAACTATGGAAACTTTAGGTATTATTGATAGACTTTGTATGAAATTGTTCCGAAAGAATTGGTAGATAAAATCAGACCGAATCATCCAAAATTTATATTATTAATTGAATATTTTATTTTAATATTCATTCACAATTCATTAGATGATATAAAACAAATGAATTGCCGATTGATAGTTTTAGATTTAAAAAAAAATGATATAGAAAATAACCGATCTGAAAGTACATTTTTTTGTCTCAAGGATCGATTCAATAACACTTCTATCAAGAATAGAGATATATGTGAATGTAATCTTTCACTCACGTTCAAGCCGCAGTCGTGGCACATCTAATCACAGTTATGAAACACTTTTCAAATTCAATTAACGCCAAATTAATGCAGCTTTTGAAAATTCTTTTCTCAAACACCAATGTGGTCAACAATGTCTACAGTGCATCAATAAGCCGCTAATATTTGGCAAGAGTTGTGAAAACTTCACAAAAATCTCCAATATCCACATTGCTTTGGTCACAGTCACGAATGGTCGTGATCATTTTACAGATTTCTAGTCATCAAAAACCTTTCTTGTTTTTGCAGCAATTGATTTTTAACAACGAATAAATTTGCTCTCAAGGGTCAAACGTACTTTTATGATTGATTGTCAGCCAAAATCGGAAGGTACTTTCATATTTCTCAATCAATGTTCCGATCTGAGACGAGCAATGGTACAAATTGTTGAATCATAAGTTCAATAGACTTTATATTTTTGATAAATTTCAAAATATGAATAGAATATGTTTATTATTTATCTAGGAAAAAAAAAGTCATTTATTCTTTGTAATATCTGTATAGAATCTTCCAGGTGTAGGTGATTTTGTTCTTTTGTCCGAAATTACAATGGATGCATTTATTCAAAATCTTAAATTACGGTTTGATATTAACTTTAATAAAATTTCAAACAGAATATTTTCATTTTAGTTTCGAGAAAGAACGAATTTATACATATATTGGCGAAGTTTGTTTTATTTTATTTTATTTTATTTATTTTTGTATGTAAACAAAAAAAATTTTCAAGTATCAATTTAGGTACTCGTAAGTGTTAATCCTTATCGTGAATTGCCTATATATGGACATAACTATATAACAAGTTATAAAGGCTGTGAAATGTTTGAACGACCTGCACATATATTTGCTGTTGCTGAAGCAGCATATCGAATATTAAAACAACGTTTAATCAATAGTTGTATTGTCATTTCTGGTAAATATTCTTTCTTTTTTGTTGGTGTTATAAATAAAAGGATGGAGTAATTTCTGATGAAATTAATTCTATAGGACTTTGTGCTCTATCTAGGACGGTTGAAATAATCAATGACTATTACATGTACACTGCATTCGTTAAAATTTTTATTAAAATTCAGGGTTTTTTTTTCTTCATTATCTTTATACCATTGTGTAGTGCTATGAAATCATATGAAAATTAGTCTGATCGATCATTACATTGATAGATAAATAAAGAGAAAGCTAATTATCATCAACAACTGGACTTAGTGTATAGTGGTAGACGTAAGTTTATAGAAATAATTTGCTCTATCAAATAAAATCTTTTTCCAAAAGCTTCGAATGAAAGCCAGAAAACTGGTTTTGAGGATTTTGGTTTTCCAAATATCCTCATCCAAGCAGTTTTACTGGAGTTTTTAGGTCCCCCAATCCTAATAAACTATCCTTTCAGCTACTCAGATGTGTTCTTGTTAACTATTTCCAACGAGATGAAAACTTAAAAATACAACTACTCTAAACTTTTGTCCATCACTACACATGTGACAGTCATTTACTATTTCAACCGACCTAGGCACAGTACAAACAAATGTTATTACTTTCAGACATCTTGTTTGGTAGTTTAATATAGAAGAAACTAAATTTCTCGAGAGAGTCTACGTCATCAGTTATCAATTTTCCCCCTTTCTTTATTAATTTCTTTTATTCATCAGGTGAATCTGGTTCAGGTAAAACTGAAGCATCAAAAATAATTCTTCGTTACATAGTAGCAGTAACAAATATATCAAATCAAGCTGAAATTCAAAGGTTTAATAACCTATATATATTGATTTATTTTTGTATTTTTTAATTTAAATTAATTATTTTCAGAATTAGTAATATTCTTATTCAAACAAATATTATTCTTGAAACATTTGGAAATAGTCGAACAAATCGTAATGATAATAGTAGTCGATTTGGTAAATATATGGATTTAAATTTTAATTATAAATTTGATCCAATTGGAGGAAAAATTCAACATTATTTACTTGAAAAATCTCGTGTTGTTAAACAACAATTAGGTGAAAGAAATTTTCATTCATTTTATCAATTATTATCAAATAAAAATATTCTACAAGAATATGGACTTCATTTTAAACCTGAAGATTATTATTATATTAATCAAGGTCAATGTTGTAAAATAGATAGAATAAATGATAAAAAAGATTATGAACAAGTTATAGAAGCATTTAATATTGTTGGTTTTACACAAAATGAAATATCAACAATATGGAAAATAATTGCTGTTATTTTACATCTTGTAAGTTTTAAGATTATTTTTTGTATTTGAATTTTATTTTTCAAAGGGAAATATAACATTTACTGATATTGATGGTGAACATTGTTCAATAGTACGATCAAATGATCAATTAGAATGGATATCAAAACTTTTAGAATGTGAACAATCAGATATATCATCAGCATTAACATCACGTGTTGTTGCAGCACGTAATGAAGTTTTTCAAACCAGACAAAATATAACACGTGCTTATTATGGACGAGATGCTTTAAGTAAGGTAAATGATGTATACATATATATTAAAGAAAGAATAAAAAAATATTTTTCTTTAATTAGACTTCTTTTTTCTCATTGGGGGTAAGAATAAAAATTGTATGTTTCGTTTGTCAAAAATATTTTGTCCTTTTATCAGAGATCAATAATCTACAACTGTATGCATAACGAAAAACTTAACTATTAAAACTTACTACAAAATAATAGACATTAGAGAGACCTGCTGTAGATATAATAGATATGTATAACAGGCTTATTTGCCACTTAAATCAATGAAAGCGAATAGCAGCAATACAAACAAACAATAGAGTGCCAATAAAAAGAACAAGAAAAAATAAATAAGACAAATCATTTCTCTGGCGATCGTTTATACTTGAAAAACAACTATAGTCTGTTAGAGATTTTTCACTTTATATATTTTGTATTAGTATGATATGGCTAAAGGACACAAGTGAGTTTCACATTTCAGTCCCAAAGGAGCTGAGCTGACAAGTCTTTTTTCTATCTTTTCAAGGTAAATAGCACCAATTTATCAGAAATACTTTTAAGAAATCTTTAAAATTTTACATCAATTCTGTGAACTCTTCGTCTGAATTTTCAATTCATTAAGCAATTACAGTACTCATAAGAAGTCCCACTACCGGGTAAAAAGTACATAAACTTCGATCCTTTTGTCTGATATTTTGACTACAAACTCTGATTGCAAGCAATAATCTGAGATCGATTAGCCTAAATGCAAAAGACTTATGAGGAAAACAGTGGCTTTTCCCTAGGACTCAAAAAGAACTTTTTTGACATTTTTTTAGTTTCCACTATTTTTAAATGCATTAACCTTCATTTTCTTATTAGCAAATGAGAGTTCGGATGTCTATATTGTGTCACAGACAGGGTACTTCAATCAACTGTAAGCTTGAGATGCAGAAAAGCCTACATTGTTTGTAGCTGTGATCGTAAAATTTTCAAGGCAAATGCTTAAAATTAGTCGGAGATATGGGTCGGTTTTTCATGATTTACATCAATTCTCATGTGCAGATTACCCAAAAATTACTTTATAAATCAAGCAAACTAAAAACTATTTGAAATGGAATTTTTATTGGTGGTTGAGGCAGCACTGAGCTGTCGAATAAGTGATCTAACATCATGAAATTTGTTTTATATGTTGAGATATTCTTGTCTAAAGATTAACCTTCTAGCCCATTCGTATGAAGACCGATCAAATCGTTGCAATCAGAGTTCAACTTGCTCTATTTGTGATAAAACTATAACATACTCTTACAATGTTAGATAAAGATAATCCACATGACCAAGACTTCCTAATATAAATTAACAAATGATATTCTCTAACTACATGCCGTTACCAATAACTTGCTGTTCTTTCTCTTATAATTTATATATTCTATAATTTAATTTTTAATTATCGTTTACAATATTATAAAATTTTTAGGCATTATATGAACGTCTATTTGAATGGCTTATCAAATATATAAATAAAACTTTATCACGAGATGATTATGAACAAAGAAATTCTTTTCATAAACGAATATATAGTTCATTTGTTATTGGTGTACTTGATATATATGGTTTTGAAATATTTGAAAATAATAGGTATAAGTTCTTTCTTTGTTTTGATTCTTTTAAGAATTATTCATTTCTTAATTTTATTTTTTTTGATGTAATTAGTTTTGAACAATTATGTATAAACTATTGTAATGAAAAATTACAACAATTATTTATTGAACTTGTGCTTAAACAAGAACAAGATGAATATGAAAGTGAAAATATTATTTGGCAACATGTTTGTTTTTATATTAATTCTTTAATTTTAAAATGAAATCTATATTTTTTTGCTTTGTTTTAGATTGATTATTTTAATAATAAAATTATTTGTGATCTTATTGAACAACCACGTATTGGTATTTTAGCAAATCTTGATGAAGCTTGTCAAATAGTAGGAACAATTACAGATGAAATCTTTCTTAAATCAATCAATAAAACATTTAAAAATCATAAATATTATTCGAGTTGGGAAGTAAGTATTATTATAATTTAAATTATAATTCAATCAATTTCAATTTTAAGCTTACACCTGGTGATAAAATATGGAAAAATATTGATACTAACAAACTTTTTCTCATTCGTCATTATGCTGGTATTTATTAATTTTAATGAATAAATAAACTTTTCTTTTCTTTTTTTTTTATTATAGGTGATGTTGTCTATTCAGTTGATGGATTTTTAGATAAAAATCGTGATACTTTATTTGATGATTTTAAACGTTTGTTATATCATAGTAAAAATTTAATATTATCTTCAATGTGGCCTGATGGTGAAAAAAGTATTACATCTATAACACGACGACCATTAACAACAGCAACTAAATTTCGAAATTCAATGATTAGTCTTTCAAATCTTCTTTCATCGAAAGTACAAATTACAAGAAGAAATATTTCATAGATATTTGTTTTTTTTAAATAAATATATTTTTTTTATTTAGCAACCATTTTATATTCGATGTATTAAACCAAATGATGAAAAAGCTGCTAATATATTTGATCAAATACGTATTGAACATCAAATTTCTCATTTAGGTTTACTTGAAAATGTTCGTGTTCGTCGAGCAGGTAAAAATTTTAATTAAACAAAAAATATCAAAGAATCTTTTGCATATTTTTTTTTTAATAAAAAAAAAGGTTTTTGTCATCGAGTATCATATGGTCGATTTGTTCAAAGGTAAAATAGAGAAAAATAATCGATATATTTTTTTTTTCTTTTATAATTTTATAGATATAAAATAATTGATGTTGTTCGATCGAAATTACATCCATATGGACCATTTAATAAAGAAAGTGCTAGTTATATTTGTAATGAACTTAATATAAATAATGATGTTGTTTATGGAAATACAAAATTATTTATTAAACAACCGTAAATTATAAAGAATAATCATAAATATTGTTGATTTCATTTTCTAGAATTTCATTATTTCAATTAGAAAAAAAACGAACCGAAGGTTTACAATCTATTGTTGTTATACTTCAAAATGTATGAAATTAAAAAAGAAAATAAAAAATTAAATTTTAATTTTATATATTTTAGCATGTACGTTCATGGAGACAATTTCGTACATTTCATCGAGAAATTTCAGCAATTAAAATACAAAATTTCTATAGAAAATATTGTGCTCGAAGTTATATCAATCTACTTAATCAATTATTTAAGTATGAAAAGAAAAATATCTTATCATTATTATATTGAGAAAATTGTTAATACGAATAATGAACTTGAAGATATTTCTAGCATAAGATTCTTTACAAAATCTAGAAAAAAAATCGAGTCGTTTATGTTTCAATTCGAAGTTCTCCAACTGATTAATCGCTTATATATCAGTAGGTCTTAATGGACTATGAATACTCTGAAAAGAGTTCGGGTTCTGAACTTATTGCTGTTGAGATACCAGCGTTCGACATGGGTCAAATTTTTCTGACCCGAGTCGAACACTGTGAGATACAACATGCAGTAGTCTCCCTTAGAAACATTCGGAAAAAATGATTTTCGGATTTTGACTTGAAACTTTGCTTAGAGACAGACTGTAGTCAAAATAGTTTATTGTAAAAGAGTGTCTTTTACGTCGCTTGTGTACACTGTAGATTTCACGTTCTTATTTCAGAATAGGAACAATGAAAGGATCTGAAACTTTTGCAACAAACTATTTTGATTGAGGTCAGTCTCTGAGCAAAGTTTCAAGTCGAAATTCGAAAATAATTTTTTCTAGTTTTCCTGACGAGGGTCACAGCATTGTATTAAAAAATGTCGTAAAAGTGCTGCATCTCTCGGCAGCAATAAGCTAAAGGCCAGAAATCTTTTCAGAGTATTCATAATTCATTAAAGGCTATATGATGTCTAATCGATTAATCAGTTGAAAGATTTCCCTCGTGAAAATCTATTGACTGAAAAAATGATACTGTAAACTATTACACATATAAGTGTCATGAAGAACGGTGAAAATTGCAATAAATTTTTCTAGACTTGGAGGAAGTTTAGAACATATTTTCTTTCAAAATGGAGAAAGCTACCGTCAAACTGTGCAAAACAGGAGGAGGTATTCTTCCCAACTCGATCATGACGCTACTGTCTCGTATAGACTTTTACGAAAGAATTGAAGAGTGTTGTTATTCCTCAGTCGGACAGGAATAATTCTGATTGGACAGTCACTAAAATTCCTGAAAGACTCGATAGGATCGTGGTAAATTTCGTCAGATTCAGATAAAATGATCATTCGTTCTGGGGTGTAATCATTGAAAGACAAATTAGAAGAAGTATTTGTAAGATTATTGTCATGTGTATATAGGAAGATCCATTTCGTTATTTTTAAGAAAACCAAATCTTAGATTTTGAATTCAGTTTAAATTCAAGAATACTTAACACGATACGGAAAAACCTTATTTTTTTATTTTTGCATAAAATATAATATTTCTTTAGTGATCATCTTGGTAAAAATATAATCTGGCCAAAATCACGACCAAGTCTTATTACTATAAATAATCGATTAAAACAAATGTATCAAAGGTAACTAAATCAATCGACTTTTTTTTACGATAGATTTTTTTAAATTTTCAATCAGATGGCGTATTAAAAAAATAGAACAAAGATTACCAATTAAACTACGATCAGAATTTGAATTAAAATTACTTGCTGGTAAATATCTTCAACAACGACCATCATTTTTTGATAAAAGTATTTATCAAGAATGGAAAGGAGATTATTTAGTTATAGTCAGTTAAAAAATATATTCTTTGATTCTTTTATTTTCTTTTATATTTAGTTAGAAGAAAATTCACGTTTAAATGAATATCAAAAATCCATAAATGAATTACGTACAAAAGATAATTTTAATAAAATTATCTTTTCTACATTTGCTATTAAGGTATAATCAATATAAAAAGATGTCAAATCGACTCACTAGTATTTTTCTTGGCCAACTTCGTTGAATCATATATCAATGAAAACAATATGTTGAGATCAACAAGTTCGATTTGAATTAAAACTAATATGATATTCAGAGTCAGCATAAAAAACCAAGTTGATCTATGTGTGATTTAAAGAATTTCTAGAATTTTTTTGTTAGTCGAAAAATTGACTCCTAATCCTCTTCAAAGACCGGATGAAAAATGAATTGCATCAAACAACCATTTGGATATTAGAAAGAAACCCCGACAATTGTTTAAAGTTATTAGATAGCAAAATGGTAGATATCTAGAAAATAAAAGCAAGATTTTCATGGAGTGCATTTTTCGTCCGATCCATGAGGGGAGACCAAGAATGAATTTTTCGACGAAAACAAAAGTTCCAGAAATTCTTGAAATTATACATAGATCAACTCAGCTTTTTATGCTGATTTTGAATATCACATGAGTTTTGATTTAAGTTGAACTTTTTTTAGTCGAAATCTTCTAAATATTGATTAAAAAGATACAAAATTATGCCTGAAGAATAGTATGTTTAGGGATTTTTCAAGCGATCAAATTTATTTTACATTGAATCATACATGATTTTGTAGCTTTTTAAAACGCCTATCAAATAAGCAATACCAGAATTTTCAGTTATTTTGATTTCTAAAGGAAAGTGTTTATTGAAAGATAACAGTTTAGGATAAACACAGTAAATATATTAATAGTGTCTCGTAATACATCGAATCTATATCTCATTAAATTAAACAATCAATTGATGATTTATATATGGGATTGAAGCATCATCAAAGTAGTATTTCATCTTAATTACTTATTTTCAAATTGAATGCGTCGTGATAGAATGCATTATTAGAATAATGACCAAAATTTTGATCTCAACATACGCTTTCCATTGATATTCGATTCAATGGAGTAGATCAAGAAAAATACTAGTATGCCGATTTGTGATCTCTTTTGCACCTTCTTCCTTCTTTATATGTATATATTAATGATTATATATTTAGTTAAATAGTCATATTAAAATGGATGAACGTGCTATTATTCTTACTGATAAATATATTTATAAAGTTGATCAAAAAAAAAATTTTCATATTAAAAAATCTAATATATCATTAGATGATATTACTGGTTTGAGTGTCACATCAGGAAAAGAACAATTAATTGTAATTCATTTAATATCAAATTCTGATCTAATTTTTTATATGCAAACAAAAAATGATCGTGTAGGAGAATTTGTTGGTTATATGACTAAACTTAAACAAAAATCGTATGTTATTTTAATTTATTATAAATATATATTTATTACATTTGTTTTAGATCAAATTTTTCTGTCAATGTACAACGTTATGTTACGACAAATATTACTAAACATAAATATGTTATTAATATTATTTGGGATCATGTGAATAAAATTGAGTTTCGTAAAGGTTCAAGTAATAATATTTCATTAGTATTACCCGATGGAAGATAAAAATATTTTCAAAAAATCGTATATCAGATAATAGTGATTTTATTTTGTTTTATTTTTATATATCAGATGTACTTTTTGATAGTCATATTTTTATGTGATTTTGAATATTTCGATTTTGTAATTATGGCAATATATGACACTAATGACATTTTATT